CCCCAAGCCTGTAGCGCTGCATGGGGTTTCCTCCCAATCAGCGTATTTACAGCTGCAAAAACTCAAGACAACAGTTTCTGCTGCCACTGTTCTAGCAGGTCTCCATTCATACCAGAGAGTTAACTTCTATATTCCCATTCTCCTCAAACATTCACCTCACTTATTTACCACTTTTCTGTTTTCTTTTCTATGATTGCTCTTTTACTCCATGCTGGAAGATCCCGCCCTTACTTCCACTCCTCCTTACCCTATCTGCTGCTTACTCTTTCCTCAGATGCTCCTTTTTCCACTCTTTTTTCTCCCAAATGGTCTACTACATTCCTCTCTCCCCACAGCAAGCGGGATCTCAACAGGTAACGGTTGACTTTACACAAAGACTGTTAATTTCATGTTACTGCTTTCTATTTGAATCAGCAGGGAAGATAAAAGCAAACAAAGGTTGAACGAAAGATTACAGGAAACTCTGCACTCAAGGATATGAGCTATCTGCCCAATCAGACCTCTAGCCAACTGATAATCAGTTCTACTTGCTGCATAAATATGTCCATTTCTTTTATTTAAATAGATAAAAACAATTTTCATACATAAGCTTCATACTGGGTTTTATATACACCTTTAAATGAACAGATTATTCAGCATCATAATTTACATGACAAACACATGCTAAAATCTTAGAGAAACTGAGAAGAGGGAAATCACACATCATGTTTACACATACAGTAGACACACTGAAAGGCATTCTTCCAATGCCCTATTTCTGTTGTTCAAATTAAAAAGAAGAAACAAAACCTTAAGTTTCTGAAGAAAAGTGGCATAAAACAAGAGAAAGATGAACTACTAACAACAGTGCAAACTCATGGGGAAAAAACTCATGCCTCATCCCGATGAGCAACAAGGCCTCTATGCTTGACCGATGTCTTGAACTTTTCAGTACTCACAAATTCTCCAGTAACCACTGGATAAACCAAAAAGTTATCTGCTTGAGACAAATCTGGGTTAGACCTTGAACATTAATCATCCCTGAACTATACTGGAAGACCCAAGGATAAAAATTTTACCTAATTAGACCCTTCCTCATTCAGAAGCCTCAACTGAGATTTTAAATTTAGATCAGTGCTCAATGGAGGAGTTGGTTCTTATCAGAATAATTTAGACTGTAAAGGACCTTACGAGATCATTTAATCCAATCCACCACTCAAAGAAGTGCTATCTTAGACTTTCACCTGCTCCCACTAATAATAACACTGTAGATATTACACAGGAAATAAGATGCAGATTACATTCCCATGACCACATTGTATGTATCTTGAGTTAGTCACATTGTTAGCATCTACCAACGAACAAACTGTAGAATTTCTTATTTCAGTGTGTGCAAGTTGTCACCAGCCCAAACTGTAATAAAATGTTAAGGCAATACGCATTTTCAGAGCATAGCACTGTGCAAATATCAGAGTTTGATTTATTCAGCATTTATAATCAAGATACTGCTATTACAGACATTATATGATGCAGTCTTGGTTGCTTAAAGTATTATTTACTCAAATTTTGCATAAGTCTGCTTTCTTTGCAAGTCTTAGATTACATTTTTCGAAAATTTAATTAATTTAATTTCCTTCATGATGTTGTCAGGCAGATTTAACTGGAGGGGCAACTGAATCATGGATTCAAGGTCAGGTACTATCCAGTCCTAGAAAACAAGTCAATAAAGACTGTAGTCTGAGGACTTGTTCCCTGTAAGTGGAATGGAGTTAAAAGGGAATGGGTAACTCCTGGATATCCTAAAGCCACAGCAGCAGAAATTGAATGTCTGCTCATACAGCCAGTAGACAAGGAACAGCAGAGTAAGTCCTTGCACTTCACGCTGTCAGCATGCCTCAACCCAGCCTGGATGAGTCACCTCCTAGAGGGTCACTGTGCCACTTCAGTCTCTGGATTCTCTGCTGGGACTGCCATGAATGACATATGGTGGCATTTGTTCCAAGAGGACATTTGTCTTCTAGGAACTGGATAAAGACCACTGATTTCACACAGGTCAGCAAGCAACCATCAAAATATTAGTAACTAAAACCTTACCAACTTTTGCCTGGTTTGAACTGGTGACACAGAAGTGATGGGAAAGACTCCATCTTCCATTAGCAGTCCCTAAGCTACCCATTAGGTAGTCCTTGACCTGTTATCCGGTCACCCCATCCCATTCCCACCCTATGTGAG